CAGTGAGTCCGACATAACCACGACAGCACAGCCGGCTGTCGTGGTATGCATAAAGCATTCACCACCTCCTCGCGTTAACGGGGTAGCCCTTTTCATTTGCTTCTGGGCGCAAAAAAATATCCTACAACCTTTTCGAATTATTTATACATAATAAGTGAGTTATTCCATCCATAATGTTAACGTTTTACAAAAACTTCTGTTGGGGCACAATGACAATACGGGGCACATTGATGCGTATTATTCTGCCCCAATGTAAAATTGTGTTACTATTTACTAATTTAGCTATACTTTTTTTTTTCGGAAAATGATGCGAGCCTATAAACCAAAGACTGAAGATGCAACATAAACGAAGAAAACATGAAGGCTGCTATATCCGACGTTATATCGAAAAATTATCTATACGAGTAGCAGCTGATAAGTATAACATCGAATTTGCAACATTGAAACATCGTATCGTATCGAGAAATTTCGAAAATATTTGGAAGATAATCAAGCATCATCCTTTAAACTTATCTATAATAGAACTGTATCTAAATACACTGTTACTCAAATATTCTCGAAATAAGAAGAGAAGATGAGGGTTTTCCTTACAGCAACCTTTGATTTTCACCTCAATTTGACGAATACTCCGGCCGCAAATATCCAGAATCATGGAAGAAAAATAAATGTAAATGACTGGTCAAGAGGATTTAGAATGAGGAACCAGGAGCTATAGTCTCAGAAAACCAGAAAACACAAGCGCAGCACAAAGTTTCACGTTTGAATTTAATAGAACACAGCATGTAATGCTACGGTACACATTTGCTCCTGACCATATCATGAACCTTGACTAAACTGGAGTCACTACTGTTTTATCTACACCTAAAGTTCTGGCTGCAAAAGGGACTCAGAGGCAAGTAGAACAAATTTTGTCGGCTGAGTCTTACCTCAGAAAGAAACCAAGATCTTGCGTTTTTGTTTTTTCGAATGTAGAAGACCAAAATAGCGTTGATTTCCAAGATGCAATTTTACATCTGCCTTAACTAAATTTTTCAAAAGACACATGACGAACATCATCTCACTAAACTATTTTAGTAAATTTAAGTGTCTTTAAGGTGCAGTAGAGAAATTCAAAATGTGTTTGTGGTTACGTTTGATGAGACATTTTTATATTGATCTGATTGTTAAGTACCTTTTTAGTACGTGTTTTTTTTTGTTTAGATTGATTTATATCAAAAGAAAACTAAAAGCTTTTTTGTATTTAGTTATAGAGTTTTAATGAAGAAGATATATGGTTAAAATGACGTGTTAGAGTAAAAAATATGATTTATTCATAAAACGCTAGACTGTTGTGATTTCTAAACAATAAAAGTATTATTAGCATACTAGTCTTTCACCGTAGCCAGGAATAGCTACGGTCAGTAATCTTCTCGTCAGGTATACCTCAAAACTAGAAAACGAGACTGTACAACCAGTGCGTGTTGCCAGTGATGACCTATGGAACTGAGACGTGGTCCTTCATTGCTGGCCGGATGAGGAAGCTCAAGGTTGCTCAGCGAGCTATGGAGAGGGCTATGCTCGGAGTTTCTCTGCGTGATAAACTTAGAAATGAGGATATCCGCAGTAGAACCAGAGTGACCGACATAGCCCAACGGATTAGTAAGCTGAAATGGCAATGGGCCGGCCATATAGCTCGAAGAACCGACAACCGAAGGGGAAAAAAGGTTATCGAGTGGCGGCCTCGTACCGGCGGAAGAAGTGTAAGGTGTCCCCCCACTAGATGGAATGACGACCTGGTAAGATATGCAGGAAGTCGATGGATGCAGGTGGCTCAGGACCGTGCTTTGTGGCATTCTTTGGGCCTATGTTCAGCCGTGGACTTGTGAAGGGCTGTAATGATGATGATGATAGTCTTTCAAGTTATACCATTTCCATACAAATTTTAGTTAGTATCAAAGTGCCCCAAGTAGTGTATCTAGGTGCCCCGTAGGTGGGGCACAGTGACACAAATATCTTTTTTTACTAATAGCTTTATATTTTTTTCATAAATTAATTAGACAGCTCGTTTTGATTACTTTTAAAATATTTATAAATGTAGTGATGCAGAAAACATAACAAATATACATTTTAACGTTATTTAAGTACTTATAAGTGACTGAAATTTTATGCATCAATCTACCCCACTTCTCCCTAAGGCTTGATTCCTTAGGTTACATTACGGCCTAGTTTAACTTGAAAAGAAATTGTTACAAAAACAACTGTCGTGTGGATCAACATTTAAATGTACCTACTGAAATTATTTTATTACTGCCACAAAACGCGATAATTTTCAAACTCACATAAGCGCCACGCCGCACTTTGTAGACTTTCTTTAACCGCGCATATACGTTCATAGCACCATACGAAATATTTATTGAACGCGCAAGAGCGTTTGCCGCACAGGGTTAGTGATCTATTTAATTGGCATTTGCATGAATTTTGCTAAAAATTCAGCAGGCAATGTGTTAATCATGAAGTGTTGTTTAGTGAAGTGCTAACTCAACTAGGTTTCAGGCTTTCTGACGAAGACATTGTTACTCACGGAGGTGGAAGACAACCGGTCGAAATAGTGATAAGATTTCGGAAGGAATACGAACATTGGCTAGAGATAATGTAGATTAAGTTGCGTGCATACTATTCTTCAACAATACCAAGAAAAAAGAGAAGGTCTAGCTAACATACAGGCGAAGACCCAATCAAATTACTGCATTCAGCAATTCAGTTTCGTCAGCTTTTACGCCAGAAAAAGCAATGGGCCTGATGCTTTCTTTAAAATTAAGTACTCGTAAGTGGCAATACATCACTTTGCGGGAAACTACAATTCGAGAAGGTGTTGAAGACATGTATCAGTGTTACTACAAGATCCAACAAGCAAAATTGCAGTTTTATCCGCCGAAACAACTAGTAACTGTAACACATTCGTCAGCTAAGATAACGCTTCAAGCAATGCTTAATGTCACAGTGAAGAGTATCCTTGACAATTTGTCAAAAAATATTACAGATAAACAGTTGACTCTTCTATCGAAATAGAGATTTCATGGTGCTTCCAGTCAGAGCCGATATAAGCAGAAAATGGACGGAGACCATGATGACTCCAGTATCTTTATGACTCCTTAGTGCCTTTTAAACTGACTGTCGATGACGTGGACGGAGATATTTCTTTTTGGACGAAACCGAAACTCAATTCAACTTTATATTGTCGTCCAGTGCAGTCCAGTTTTGTGAAGAAAAGCGAACCATTGGCGAAAAATAGATGAGGAAATTGCAGCTCTAACCCCCCCAGGTGTGATACAAACAATGTTGATCATAAACTGATGTTGAAGATGATTAATGGTACGAATTTTATTGAGTTTCCCGATAAAACTGCAGCTATCACCGTTTTGGACAAAGAGCTTGTCCACAGATTTGCTGTGATTTTGCAAACCATAACATCTGGAGAGGTAATCGATGTCACCAAATTCAAAGATTTTACATATAGGACAGCCCAAAGGACGTGGAATTATATAGTTGGTACTACATGTCATCAAGCATTCATAAGTTGCCGATTTGTGAAGCAGATATCATCGAACGCAAAGCAATTGTGCCAATTGGGAGCCTATCAGAAGAAGCTTCAGAAACTCGGAACAAAGATTTTAGGTTTCAAGAACATCATTCCCGGAAAAAAGAGTAGAAAATATTCTAACGAAGATATCTTTAATATGCTTATCCTAGTTTTAACTGTAGACTTAATAGAGATTCAGGAAACGCAAATTGAATTATTGGATATGACCAACATAATTCGGAATTGGATTCCAATGAAAGTGATTAAAAAAATTAGGCTATTTTTGTAACATATTTTGATTTATTTTCGATATTAAAGATATACATTACAAATAATATTCTATTATTGATGTTTTTTTTTAAAGTTGCTATTTCTCATAGTGTAGTATGTCATAAATCTAAGTAATTCTTAATTAATGAGTTCTAAAAAGATCTGATTAAGACTCATTAGTAGTACGAGCAAATACTAATGATTTTATTATTGGTTTTTGTTTAGTTCTTATAAGACCTCAGTAGAATCAAAGATATTTTTTATTACCATCGGTTGGGACTCATGATCCGGTGGTTTGATGTTGTAATAAACCTTCCTTCTGACATGGTTTTAAGCAATAAAACAGTATCAGTTATCTTTCTGCATTAAAACAAGTTTGAAAATAAAAAAAATTGACAATAAAAAAGTGCAGTATTTCCTGTAATATGAAGTATGTCAAAAAATCATAAATAACTAGTACTATAACCCGCTATAAGGATATAAGGGGCAATTTTGCGATTCCAGGGTTATACTGCTGGGTGTATCTGCTCCATACATTTTTTAATTATTTTCGTAAAAAAAGGCTAAAGAACATTTTTGGAAAATGGCGCCAACCGTAAAAGAATACAAGCAGAGATTTTTTATGTTTTCTTCACCTATTCTGGGTAGGCAAAGGGAACTATGCACATACAGCCAAGTCTTCAGTAGAATTTTTTTTATTGATATGTAATGAAAATTAAATTTAATGAGATGAAATGAAACCTAACCTAACTCATTGAATCAAATCATTAAATCTGATATTGAAACAAATTAGTTGCTTTTTTTTAGAAATATTTGTATGAATCATAAAAACTTCTATGATTTTTTTTTTAGTTAAAACCTCATGGTTGGTTTTTTCTTTTTAATAGACATTATTTTGACAGTTGGGAAAGGGAACGCACGAGTTCGGAAAAGGTAAAGAAAAAGCACGAGTATGTAATAGCCCACATCCCGAACGCTATACGTCCCTGCAATTAGCCACTTTTTGAGCAACTGTATTAAAAAGTGATTTTCGATCCAGTGTGTGACGACGTCGTCTGCGTATTAACAATAGCGCGAGCAAAATTTCCGTGTCGGAATCCGTCATAATTATAAAAAACGTATAGGGTCGAGAAATTATAAAAATTACAGCGCCGAAACTTTAAGACAATGTTTGGCTTCCATAGAAAATAAAGAAATAACGCAAAGAAAAGCTAGTGAAAAGTATGGCATCCCACGCAGAACCATTATTAATCAGTTAAGACTCCTACGATCTAAAATGCCATCTCGACCTCCAGGCGCACCAACAACATTTTCAAGTGAAGAAGAAGCCTTATTTGTCGACTGCATTTTAAGGCTGAGCGAGTACGGCTTTCCTCTCACAATTTTCGATCTTCGCATTGTTATTAGAACATATTTGGAGAAAATTGGTCGGAGAGTTACAAAATTTAAAAATAATTGTCCAGGTACTGAATGGGTGTCAAGTTTCCTAAAAAGACATTCATGTTTATCACAAAGATTTGCGACCAACATTAAACGCAACAGAGCAGCCATTGACAAGGAAACCATCACTGCCTACATAGAAAACTTGAAAGAGGTGGTTAGAGACATACCGCCCGAAAATTTATGGAATTTTGATGAGACTAATTTATCCGACGACCCTGGTCAAAAAAAAGTAATAGCGAAGCGAGGTGCAAAATACCCTGAACTTATAAGTAATACCTCCAAAAGCTCAACTTCTATCATGTTTTGTGGTAGTGCTAAGGGAGAATTATTACCGCCGTATATTGTCTATAAATCTAAGCAACTATGGAATACATGGACGGAACAAGGGCCAAAAGATGCCAGATTTAACAATAGCCCATCAGGTTGGTTTGACATGAATATATTTAACGATTGGTTTTTTACACAAATTTTGCCAATATTAAAGAAACAAGAGGGTCCGAAAGTTATAATAGGAGATAACTTGTCATCTCACATTTCTGTAGACGTCCTAAATGCTTGTGACAAAAATAATATTAGATTTGTTTGTTTGCCACCTAATAGCACTCATCTAACTCAGCCGTTAGATGTTGCCTTTTTCCACCCAATGAAGGTAGCATGGAGAAAAATCCTGACCGAGTGGAAGGCGAGTGTTCAAGGTAGGCGAGAGCAAGTACTCCAAAAAAGCAGTTTCCCAGTTCTGTTAAACCGACTCATTGATATTTTGGAACCGACGCGAGAGGTAAACCAGGTTTTCGGAAATGTGGAATTTATCCGGTTGATGCCAATCCATTATTAGAGAGGTTGCCTACAACTGTTGACAAGACTGCTTTGCAAGACTCTTTTCTGCAGAGTCTTGAAGCTAAGAGGCTAGAATGGACGACAAATGGAACTACAAGAGGACGTCGCAGGAAACTACACATCACTCCTGGAAAAAGTGTAACTGAAGAATTAAGCACACTTTTGGATGATAAAGAAAATGAAGAGTTGGCTCAACCGTCAACTTCAAAGATACCATGTCGCCGCAGAGCCAGTAGTGAAAGCTCTTACGCAGAAAGTAACGACATGTCAGTTCATGATTCTTCCGATCTAGGTTCTCTTGGAGATTTAGAAAATCTTGAAGCTAATACTGATACAGCGGCCGAAACTTGTAATGAAAATTGCAATTTCAAACCAATTGTGAAGGCGGTCGGGCAATATGTAGTCTTCACGTATGAGGAGGAAATTTTTCCTGGTAAAATCACAAAAATAACTAAAGAAGGGCCGTATATCTCTTCAATGAAGAGGTCACTAAAATCCTGGACGTGGCCTAAACCCGTCGATGAAATTCAATACAATTGGCAGGATATATTGGGATGTATTGAAGTCCCTAAAAAAATTAGTACCCGCCGTGAAATATATTCCGTCCCTGAACTAGACCAAACTTGGGGTTTTTAAATATATCAAGTTTAAAAATGTTGAAGTTTCATAAATACTTTTAGATGTAAATTTTCATTTTTGAGAAGTGTATCTCGTTAGTTTATTTTTGATTGATTTTTGTCCAAAGACTAAACATTTGTAACCAAAGTTACTAGTTAAGATAGCAGTGACTATTATAATTTAAGAATATAAAAAAAACCAATGATACAAAGTGATTTTGTAACTAAATTTAAGTATATAACACTATTTCTTTAAAAAACACGGTTTTTTTTAATTTTCACCCATTTTTCGACCATTGATACTATCAAAAAAGGTAAAGAGTAATTTCACGGGAGCAAAGTTTGAATAAGGAAAGTATAACTTTGCTAAAAAAGCTTCCACAATGGAGATTGCTTGTGAAATATACACAGGCGCAAAGTTACCCATAGTCATGGGTAGCTTTGCGCCTTGTTCGTAGTTTTATATATATTATAAAATACTTAATTATGTTGATTTAACTTTAAAAATATGTTAGATAACATGTTGTGCTTCAAATTAATACATCTAAGTATATTTCATAACTAATAGTTTAAACAATATTCGTAATTTCCTTTTTTTGGAGCAAATATTGGGGCAAAGTAGGACCATTCTACGGTACTTATAACTAAAACACAATTTTTAAAATTTTTGTCTGTCTGTCTGTCTGTTTGTTCCGGGTAATCTCCGAAACGGCTGCACCGATTTTGACGGGATTTTCACTGGTAGATAGCTGATTTCATAAGGAGTAACTTAGGCTACCTTTATTTTAGAAAAATAATTAGGGTTCCGCACAAAAACATAAAAATCTTAACACGCGAGCAAAGTCGCGGGGAACAGCTAGTTTATATATATTTTCGATAAGGACTATTAATATTTAATCATTTAAAAGTAATATTTTGCATAGATTAGTATTAAAATTAAATTCACATTAATAGTAAAAACAAAAAATCATACCGATAATTTTCGCTAGAAGCTGCACAACATGATAACAGTTTCTGGTTGAAGTTGAAAGACTGCTAAATTGTCGCAATTAAAATTTTATATATAATACGCTTATATAGGTTGACTCGGGACACATTTTTCGTGAATTTTGTTCTAGGCCCGCCGTCCATTTAGTACTACTAAATGGACGGCGGGCCTAGACCAATGTCAATGATCATAAATAATAATTTATTTATTCTTTATTGCATTCCTTAATATAAAAGAATACAAAGGGCGGACTTAATGCCTTGAGGCATTCTCTACCAGTCGACCCATGGAGTGGTGAGAATTTGACGTAGGTGTAGCAGTATAGAATAAAAACAAAATAAAAAATAAATAAATACATAACGACACATACACGTCTGTTAACAATATATTAATTCTTAAGATTAAGATACTTTATGTTTCGTGCAATAAAGAATATCTATATAACTGTCTAACATCCTTGAACACACACACACACACACAAAAGGTGTGCGGACAAAGACAGTGCCGTTGTAAGAGTAGATCATTCAAAATTGTCGGTTGTTTGAATGGAGTGTCAGGAAGTTGACTACAGATTTATAATATAAAGTCGTAAAAAGTACTCTATGTTACAAAAACATAGATGTTTCTAACCGATGCATCGAAATACATCGATGCACATTCTCGATGCATCACATCGAACAAAAACATTGATGTGTTTTCAAAATGGACACCTCTAATTGAAGACAACCAAACCAGTTTATTTGTTGTGCTATTAACATTTCTAATATTCTTTGGCTTTATTTGGGCACCTCTGGCATATTGGGAACTTTTTTAGTGTTAAACTTCATTTTACACTTCTTCTCTGTGTTGCCAAAATCAGTGTTAGTTTTATGTTTAACATCAGAACCCAATAAATACACAAGTTTATTTCTTTGTAAATCATATTTCATGTTCTCTTTATTTTATCACTGTCATCGTCATCATTGAATTATTTTTCTTTGAAAAACCGTTGACTTCAGCATGAGTATGCTTATGTGATATGCAAAGAATTTATTGAGGTATCATTAGTTGAAGATATGATATAAGAACTCTTTGAGGAAACAATTATTTAATTTCGTTGGGTTTACTTATATAATAAACAAATTATAATTATTTATTTCTTTATTCCTTCTTTCTTAATATTCCAAAAAATTTAGTTCTGCTTCAGGTTGGTTTAAAATTTGTACCAAGAGCCTATTTTAATAAATTTAACTGGTTTTTAAAAGTAGTCAAATCCTGACAGCTACTTGTCAAACTTAGTCTAATTTAGTTCAGTTTTCATTCACAAGTATTCAAATCTTTTTTTATATAGGATAAGGGTGACAAACGAGCACACAGTCCACCTGATGGTAAGTGGTTGCTGTGACCCATAGACATCTACATTTATCCTCGATTACAAATCAAAATGCATGCATGAGTTTTCTCTATAAATACCAGCAATACCTTCATTTTTATTGAATATTTATAATCTAGAATCATAATTGAACTATATTTTACTTTCTTTATTATCCTAGAAAGGGAACGAATGACAGTACACAAAATTCGTCATAACTCAATTGGTCAAAAAGTGGACTTGACCACTTTTGAAAATTACCTCCTGAATTGTTGCATTAGCTTTTATCTTTAAGTAACAGTTCACAAGCGTCACTCTAATAGCTTTTCCAAATGTTATTCACATTTTTGCTGTATGTGAACTTGGTTATATGACTTCTATTAAAACATTACAATTACAAATATTCCCAAAATAAGTTCTTATTCCACTACTGTTATTTACAAGAAACACCTTCCTGACAAGGCCAAGGGCTAGATTTCCCTAATACTTTGCACCAATCTTTAGGTGTTTCTATAGCTCTTAATGTATGTTTGTAAAAAAAATGCTGCATTTTAAACTATTTTATCTGTTAAAAACTTACAACTTAATGTAGATCCAAATTCTTTACCCACAATTTACATAAATGGTAGTCACAGTACTAAATATAAATCGTGATATAGCATAAGTAATTGAGTGGTGTGGAGGCACTATCGTACTTTAAGAATGTAGACACTATGACACCGTCAGTGTGAATACACTATCATGCGGTTGGTGTGAAAATTCTCTGACGTGGTTTGTGTAGACACTTTTGAACAGGACGATGTGAAGACACTTTGACGCGGTCGATGTGAAGACACTATGACGCGGTCGATGTTTAAACACTATGACGCAATTGGTGTGTAGGCACTATAACGCGGTCGGTGTGAAGACACTATCACACGGTGGATATGTAGACACTATGAGGCAATAGTTATGGCAGGCATTATGTTGGAGTGGTGTGCGAGCACTAGGGGGGCGCGGGGGCGCGGGGGCGCAGGCACTAGGGCTGCGGCGCGTTGGCGTGCGCGTGTGCGCCGAGGCGCGCGGGGTCCTGGCTGGGGTAGTGCAGGCCGGGCGGCGCGGCCGCGGCCCAGCCCCAGCCCGGCCCCGTGTAGTGCTGCAGGTTGAAGAAGTCGTTCGGCCGGCTCGGCGGCGGCGGCATCTGGAGATAATTGCACATTATTTAAATTCCTTTTTTATAGAATAAGGGTGACAAACGAGCACACAGTCCACCTAATGTTGGACACCTACATTTTCATTGTCACCCATGAGAACTAGATAGTGCCTCGTTTCCAGTAAAAAAGTTATCCAGTTCTCTACACTCACCAAAACACAGTAGCATTAAGCTACTATTTCACACTGATTTCCTGTGAGAGCGTGGTCCTGGCCTAGTTGAGCAGACCCATTTGTGCTTTAAGCATAATATAGCTGCATTTCTATTTCTTTGGTACAATCTGTAGCCTAAACATGGATTTTAAGATGGGGTGTCATTAGATTTATCTTAGTACTGGAAGTGACCTAGGGTATAAAAAAAATCTGTTTTTAGTAAACTGTTCTATTCAGTTGGGTTTCTAAATTAATGTTTTAACCATTGGACTTCTTTAATGCCACTTTTAACATTAATAATTAGTCTTACAAAAAAAGCTTTAATTTTTCTTTAGGATTAGTTAACATACAATATTACAATAACTACATATTACGTAAAATTACATAATAACAATCACGTACCTGCGGTGGGAATGGATGTAGGAAGGCGGGTGGTGGAGGTGGCAAAGTTCCAGGCAATCCAGGCACGGGCTCCAATACTGGCTCTGTTTCATTCTTCTCATTTGCGCCTTGGCGACCTGGTATCAATATTTAAATTGTCTTAATTACTGTAACATTGTATTTATTATATCACACACAGCACATTGTTGTAAGATTTTCAACTTGTAAAAAAAAAACTTGTTAATTACTTGGAAAAAAAAAATATCTAGAAGACAAACAATATGAATTTCGATCAAATAGATCAACAGAAGATGCAGTATTAAAATTACCATCCCTAGTTACACAATACTTAGATAAAGTCTGGAAAGCATTGTGGTGTTTCTCGACTTACAAAAAGCCTTTGATACAGTCTCCCATCCTATCCTGTTACAGACTAGAAAATGTTGGTATCAGAGGAACTGCAGTAAATTGGTTTTCAGACTATCTAAGTCAAAGGTCGCAAAAGACTAAAATAGATAATTATATGAGCACCGAAGCTGTCTGTACTTACAGAGTACTACAAGGCAGTACATTCACCCCTGCTCTCTTTAATATTTATTTAAATGAACTATGCAAAATTAAGCTTAATAAAGGGGTGCATAGAATGTTTGCAGATGACATGGTTTTACTTTTTCAGGATTCTTCATGGAAGTATACATGTAAACATTATATAATTTATTATTATTAACTATGGGATATGTCAGGAAGATTGTACAGCTTTCGACAGATTGTGGAAAATCTCATTTAAACTCTGCAAAATGTAAAATCGTGACAAGAAGATGCGAGAGTAAACATATTATTTTTAATTGCATTTCTGGTTAAATGCATGGCTCCTTTTTTCTAATACAAAAATTATAGTATATATTACGTTATTTTGGGGTTATGGAATAAATTTTCATCTCCACCAATATACGACACGTTTACGATATATTCAAATCTTTTATGGTCATCCTTTAAAAGATATTATTGTTTAATTAAAATACATAAAGACATTTTTATAATAAACATAATATTCAATAATTTTTAAATCAAATAAAGATAAAACAATCTGTTTTCCAAGTGTGGGGATTAAGGCGACTCATACCTAAAATGGGGGAAACCCATGTCCATTAAACAGGCTGCAAATAGAAATAAGATATCACCTGACCATGTGATTGAATAGGTGGTTATTGGAATGTTCACTGTGTGTGACTCACCTACTAATAACACTTCTGCAAAAGCTTTCATTGTCACTAGGGTTATTTTAAATTTGCAAGCAAATAATATTTCTATGGCTATATTACCTTGAGACTTGCCCCATTTGATAGTGAGTCTTTTCCCTCCAATGACCAATCTGTTGAAAGTCTTTTCAGCAGCATGTTCAGCTGCACTCCGTGTTGTGTACTGCACAAATGCACACTGAGCTCTTGGCACAAGGGTCAAACATCTGAAACATTTGTTAATTTACAGTTAAAAAAAAATAGAATAATTTATAACCATAATAGAAGATTAATCCCGCACGGAACAAGTATTTGTATGGCCTACAAATAATTGTTCCGGGTCTGGACGTTTATCCTCGTGCAATTTATGTTTGTAAACTGCCTCCACGACACAGGAGATAATTCTAGTGGGGGTAACGTTAGAAAAAACCTAGTGGAACACTTTTTATAATAATAATTTATAATGTAGAAGAATTAAAAATAAAATGTATACATTTTAAAACATCATGGTAGAGATCACCTCATTCCCAGGAGTTAATACTAGTCATGTATACTTCAAAATTATAATAACTTTTTTTATACATCTTCCTTTTATGTTATTTTATGTTTGTAATAGATATACCTTGCATAATTTTTTTCTGACACATTTTTATAAATAATATTATACATTATTCCATGAAGAAATAACTGACTCTTTGAAGTGGATTAATTGGTATTACTTGCATGTGTTTGTTCCTAGTAATTACAGAATGTTTCACTATTATTAATAAAACTATGTTTGTTCTATTAATATACATATAATTTGTGTAAATATACTTAGAGGCCAAAGTTAATATACTCATTTTTTTAAATTCATGTCATTGATAATATGGTTGAGGTAATTCCTTATAACAAAATGAATACTACACTTAACAAGGTTGGAATTAAAATACTTATACTATATATATATATACACACCTTATATATAATAAAAATAAAATATTTTAACTGATAACAGCTGTTTAATTTTTTATGTATTTTTTGCATCTGAAATTAAAACTGGTATAAGATGTCAAACAACAAAAACAACAAACACTACTAACATCCTTTGCAGGATTATAGCTTATTTATGGTAGGAGAAAAATATTTATAGAAAAATAATCCCATGGACTCTTTACATAAATGAGTTTATATCTTTATATTTATTGCAGTACAAGTATATTCAAAGTGATCTTATCTCTGTTGGTGGGTGAGCCCAGGCTTCACACATTTTTGCCCAAGTTCCTTTATTTAAATAATCTATATACATATAATAAATCTGTAGAAAATTTGGTGACAGTCACCGGTCAGCGCATACCCGTCCGTGGAGAGAAGGAGATGGAGTTGAAGCTAGGCAACATGATCTACCTGCATAATGTCATCGTGGCTGATATAATGGAAGACTGCATCCTGGGCCTAGACTCTATGAGGAAGAATTGTTGAGAGATCGACGTTAAGCAAGGTGTTTTGAAATGTGGACAAGAGGAACTTTTCGTGGAAGGGGCGTTACCAGGGAATGTGTACAGCCTTAAGAAGATTGTTCTTCCGCCGAGATCGGAAACGATTGTGCCGGTTAGTCTTCCTCGGAGTCCTGGGGAAGCTCATCGTTGTGTACTCGTGGAAAGGGTAGACAATGACCTTCCATGGAAAGTGGCTCGAACCTTGGTCAGAACCACCGACATCTCAGGAGTACGTGTGTTGAACCTTTGTGATCAGGAACAGATTATAGAAAAAGGCACATTGGTTGGTACTAGTGAGGAAGTGGATTGGTTGCGTCGGTGCGAATATCTATCGACCGGGACCCCCAGCAAGGATGGACAAACGAGAGTGACCACACTTTTAGAAGACTGTCGCAGCGTTCTTTCCCCGAATGAAATGGTCAAGGCGAAGAAGTTGTTACTCAAGTACGCCAATGTTTTCTCGTCTAACGAAGTTGACATAGGAAAGACTGGCTTAGTTCAACACAAAATAAACACAAGACAAGAATTGCCTATTCGTCAGCGGCCAAGAAGATTGCCTGTAGCACGTGAAAAGGAAGTGGAAACCATGATTGAGGGAATGGTGAAGGATGGTGTTATTGAACCTTCATCTAGTCCATGGTGTTCACCTGTGGTGCTGGTAAAGAAGAAGGACGGCAGCATGCGGTTTTGTGTTGACTACCGCCGCCTGAACGACGTTACAAAAAGGATAGCTATCCCTTGCCAAGAATTGATGACACGCTGGACATGCTTACAGGCGTAAAGTGGTTTAGTACGCTGGATCTGAAAAGTGGCTACTGGCAGGTTGAAATTGACCCTAAGGACAAGGAGAAAACTGCATTCTCCACTGGAAAGGGTCTGTGGCAATTTAAAGTCATGCCGTTTGGATTGTGCAATGCTCCAGCAACGTTTGAAAGGTTGATGGAGCTTGTACTTACCGGGCTAATTGGAAATGCCTGTCTGGTGTATTTGGATGACATCATCATCGTAGGCCATACGTTTGAGGAACACCTTCAAACCTGGAACGTGTGCTTACAAAGATCCAGAGTGCCAACCTCAAGTTGAGTCCGAAGAAGTGCTCACTATTCAAACGGCAAGTTAGTTTTTTGGGGTATGTAGTGTCGGAAGAAGATATCCGCACGGATCCAGAGAAAATTGCCGCTGTCAAGGAGTGGCCGGTTCCAAAAGACAAGACGCAGGTTAGAGCATTTTTGGGTTTGCGCTCTTATTATCGGCGATTTGTGAAGAACTTTGCAGATATAGCCAAACCTCTGCACAAGCTAACCGAGGAGAAGCGACATTTCTGCTGGAATGAAAGTTGCGATATTGCATTCCAGGAGCTCAAGAACCGTCTGTGCAAAACGCCTATTTTGGGGTACCCTGATGCGGGCAAGGAATTCATAGCTGACACAGACGCAAGTGATATAGGACTTGGCGGTGTGTTGTCTCAATGGAATGGTGATCAAGAGATTGTGATAGCATACTTCAGCAAGTCGTTGTCAAAGCCGGAAAGGAACTATTGTGTCACAAGACGGGAATTGCTTGCTGTGGTAAAGTCCTTGCAACATTTTAGCACATATCTCCTGGGGCGGAAATTCTACTTACGAACTGACCATGCTGCACTGAAATGGCTATTGCAGTTCAAAAATCCGGAAGGACAAGTTGCGAGATGGATTGAATTACTACAGGAATACGACTTTGTGATCGAACATCGCAGCGGGAAATATCACGGCAATGCAGATGCATTATCAAGAAGACCTTGCCCTGAAGATTGCAAGCATTGTACTAGGCAAGAGGGTAAAGAAGTGGTATCTGCGAGGATATTCAGGACAGACCAGCTCAGCAATGAATGGAAGGACAGCCTACAACATGCACAGCAGGAAGATTCGGACATTAAGCCGATTCTGGAATGGATGAAGGCCAGTGTTCCTAAGCCCAATTGGAGCGACGTCTCAGCAATGAGTTCGACCACGAAAAGCTATTGGGCCCAATGGGACAGCTTGCTGATTCAGGATGGAGTCCTGTGCCGTAAATGGGAAAATGGTCGGGGAGACAGGTGTCATTTACAAATGGTTGTCCCTAAGGCTAAAGTGCCGGATGTTCTACAGCTGTACCATAGTGGTTGTTCAGGAGGCCACTTGGGAGTTAAACGAATTCTCCTGAAGATCCGAGAACGGTTTTACTGGGTCCACTGTCGTGACGATGTCGAGGACTGGTGCCGCAAATGTACAAGTTGTGCGGCTGTAAAGGGACCTCAAATTCTTAGTAGAGGCGCATTGAAATTGTACAATGTTGGTGCACCATGGGAGAGGATAGCCATTGACGTTGCGGGGCCGTTTCCAGAAACTGAAAGTGGTAACTAGTATTTCATGGTAGTGATGGATTACTTCACTAAGTGGCCAGAAGTCTTCGCCATTCCAAATCAAGAAGCTTCAACAGTTGCAGATAAACTAGTTCATGAAGTCTTCTGTCGTTTTGGAGTACCTTTAGAGATCAGAGAGATAGAGATTTAGAGATCATAGCGATCAAGGAAGAAATTTTGAGTCTCAAATATTTCAGGAAACTTGCAGAGTTATGGGTACTCAGAAAACACGAACAACTTCTTACCACCCACAGTCTGATGGAATGGTAGAACGATTTAATCAGACATTGGAGAGGTACCTAGCAAAAGTTGTAGAAAAACGGCAACAAGACTGGGACAGGCACATACAACCGTTTTTGTTGTCATATCGAAGCGCTGTTCACGAAAGTACATCAGTGACACCAGCTTTCGCAAACTTTGGGAGAGAATTGCGGTTGCCTGCAGACCTGATCACCGGAATACCACCTGATGCCCCACGCAGTATAACCGATTATGTAAATGACTTACGGAACAAAATGAATGACATTTATGAGCACGTCAGACAGACGGGCCAGCAAACGTCTGAGAAGATAAAACACGGTATGACCGCAAAATGAACAACAAGGTGTTTGATGAAGGTTCACTAGTGTGGTTACACAATCCAGTTCACAGCAAAGGGAAATCTCCTAAGTTTCAAGCTAAATGGGACGGACCGTACCGGATTGTGACAAGGATCAATGATGTAACCTACCGGATACAGAAAGGTGCCAGAGGTACTCCTAAGATTGTCCATGTGGATCGACTGGCGCGTTATTATGGGGCCAATAATGCTCGGGACGAGCATGTCTTAGGAGGGGGCAGTGTTGCGCGCCACTATTAATGTCTTGTACATGGCAACACTAGTTACACTAGCGCCCTCTAGTGTCGAGTAGCAGAACTAGGAGTCAAGATCCTTCCAGAAATTTCGGGACCGATATGTACTCGAATTCTAGATGTCGCTACAGTAGAAGACTAGTGTGGTTACACAATCCAGTTCGCAGCAAAGGGAAATCTCCTAAGCTTCAAGCTAAATGGAACGGACCGTACCGGATTGTGACAAGGATCAATGATGTAACCTACCGGATACAGAAAGGTGCCAGAGGTACTCCTAAGATTGTCCATGTGGATCGACTGGCGCGTTATTATGGGACCAATAATGCTCGGGACGAGCATGTCTTAGGAGGGGGCAGTGTTGCGCGCCACTATTAATGTCTTGTACATGGCAACACTAGTTACACTAGCGCCCTCTAGTGTCGAGTAGCAGAACTAGGAGTCAAGATCCTTCCAGAAATTTCGGGACCGATATGTACTCGAACATTCTAGATGTCGCTACAGTAGAAGATTCTGGAAACTATCTGAGGCCCTATATAAGGCCGGTATAGACCACGACCGAGGCAGTATTGAATTGGCGATACAAGAGAATACGTCGAAGCGAAATAACTGCGAACTAAAGTGATTGTGTTTTATTATTAGTGTGGTTTTAGATTGTAATTAGTGTTGTGTAATTAAAATGTCAATTTTGGTAATTCAATCGGCAGTTTTTAATTGTCTCGAACCCTAAGCTCGTAACAATATTAATGTAATATAGCGCCCTCTACTTTCTCTAAATAAACTAATGATAAGTAACTGATAAAATTAAATTTTAGAATGCTACCGAATTCTTATTCGTGCAGCATCAAAAATTGTCACACTTAAAAATATCTAGACCGGTGGTCATTATCGGGATTATTTAACACAATAACCACGTTTGGCAAAATGGCTAACATCACTGTTGTACACAAAACTGAGATTAGGAGAGAAGCTCTTTAGTTCAATATATTGTTTGTCTGTCGGCATAGGTTTCATTTTACTTACTTCATATGTTATCACGTTATATGATGTAAATAATCGTTGGGTTTCTTATTACTGGGTAGATATGGTCAACAATGGTACAAAAGCTTTGTTTCAGTTTTTATGAATTTTATTTAAACAAATACGAGAGCCGTGTAGCTCGCCGTGAGATTTCATCACAGCAAGGGAGCAAAACGTCTACGAGTCCTTTGAGGACAAATGAATCTGTTATGGGAAATTTTACGTACTGCCTTACTACATAGGTTCCCAGTGAAGTGGTGAAGAAAAACTTCGTGGGCAAACCTAAATGTCGGAGTAGTAGTTGAAGGATTGCGGCATTTTTTTTTATGGGAGAGGAGGCAAACGAGCATGCGGCTTACCTGATGGTAAGTGACTACCGCCGCTCATGAACAACTGCAACACCAGGGAGGGAAATGCAGATGCGTTGCCGGCCTTTTAAAAAGGAGTACGCTCTTTTCTTGAAGGTCCCTAAGTCGTATCGGTCAAGAAAAATCGCTGATGGTAATCGATTCCACAAGGAAGTCGTGCGAGGAAGAAAACATCTTCTAAATCGCACAGTGGTGGACCGCCAATCATCCAGATGGTGTGGATGGTATCGGGAGTTCTGCCGCGATGTGCGTTCGTGAAATTTGGCGGCTGGGATTAATTCGAACAATTCCTCAGAGCACTCCCCGTGGTAGATGCGAAAGAAAATGCAAAGGGATGCCACATCTCTTCGCAGTGCCAATGAATCGAGCCGATCGGAAAGCATTCGATCGTCGACGATTCGAGCCGCTCTGCGCTGGATGCGGTCAAGTGGAAGGAGCTGGCACTGGGGAGCCCCTGCCCAGAGATGGGAACAGTATTCCATGTGAGGCCGAACCTGCGCCTTGTAAAGTTGCAGGCATACTCTTTTCTGCTCACAAACACTATAGGTAATGGGGAGCCGTGTGCACAGTAACGTAAAGAGACGTATGTAAGCTGCTACTTTAGTTTTTATACCTTTAATGAGACTTATAAATCAGTTTGTTGGTTTTTTGTATTTTTGAGTTTTCATATTATCAGACAAATCAAGATTTTTGTGACAGTAGTGGTTTCATAGCTCACATTAGATATGGAAATGAACAGGATGTTGCAAAAAATACTTTAAATATCGAAGATTGCAGATTTTACTTAAACGAAGAACGATATGAGCTGGCGGATTCTCTTTCGCCGCCACAACAAGGCGAATATTTTTCTGCTTTCGATAATGAGTGTAGTTCTAACTACGTTCACTGCAAATAGAACTTCATTTGCAATAAAAGTAATCATAAGGATTTTAGCGTGTTTAATTTTAACTTTTATAATTGATGATGTTTCGGGCAAAATACAGAACCCATGGAGATTAGGGCGGGGGTTTATTTGTTGTCTTTCAGATCTGATATAATGGTTGGGACGATACTCAACATGTTGACACACTTTCAAACTTCTCGGAGCGTCGGTGCTTCACATCAGCAATACGTTGTTTTACGCAAATTTTTATGGAACTTTCTTCCAATGATGTGTTTTGTACAACCCATTTAAATAGAAGTGTTTTATTATATGTGTAGTATTCATCATTACCAGAACAGCATTTATGAAATTATGAAGTTTACTTGAACAGAAAAAAAATCAGAATCTATTTTATGGTGCCAATCAATATTAAATGGAAACAATGATATGAATCAAATATCACATATAAGACCATGAATTCATCGTTATTTTGATAAAAATAAATTATGAATGAATGTAAAGAGTAAATAATAATAGTAAATTTGGATTCCAAGACTATTTATCTTTGTTATGGATAGATACATTGGAAGACAGGTCCAATGCAATTCTGAAAAACTTATTTCTGCATGTGTCCCTCAATCATCTAGGTCCAATAGTCTTTGGGAATTAAAAAAATTCTTTGAAAAACTGACATAGATACACAGACACAGACTTGACGCTAAAAGTGATCGAACTTTACTAAATTTGGCGTGGAATACATTTAATGATGTTTCTAAAAAAGAAGACCACGCGAGCGAAGCCGCGGGTAAAAAGCTAGTGTATAATATATAAATATATTAATTTATTATCTTGAATACAATAAAATTTAAGAGGATCATGCTGCTATTTTTTTTTCTCTATATGTGCACCTCACCTACACTACACTTCGTATTATAGACAGATGAAGTTCTGATGATTGACTAATGGTGGAAAATGATACTTAAAATGCAGACTGGTGAGCACTGCTAGTGGAACCAACAAAAACAAATAGAGGTGTGGTCAACCATGCCCAAACCTACTCTAGTTCTATTTGCATACAAAAAAAGCAAGGTATTGCTGCTTGGACTATAGAATTAAAATACCTTATCTCCCCATATTGGTAGAAATGTCCCTTGAGTTCATCCTCGGTGATATTTTCAGGCAAGTTGCCAATGTAAAGTGTTGTAACTGTCCGATCTTCTGGTGGTGGTAAAGCGGGCATGGCCGCTGCTCTACGCATCAACTTCTCAGCTACAGGATCATTCACACCATAATATCTAGAAAAAAATTTAAATGTTATATTATAATGTAAACTAATTTTGTTTGTTAATTTAATTGTGAAGGCATAATAGACATGACATAAAAAAAAAATTAAAGTTCTCAAACTCTTACCTGTCTTTTATGTTTTGATCAGCCAATGGATCATCAGGGTCTGTTGGTTTTTCGTGCCTATATGGACACTCTTCCCCTCTTCTGCATTCCCCTTTCACCCAAAATGAGCAAACATGTGGTCTATTTCTTTTATAATAAGGTGCAGTTCTTGCCAAGCGCAATAACAGGTCAGAAGCACCTTTAGATTTTAAAGCAGAGTTACTGGGCTGGGTTGGATCAACCTTTGACATTTGACTATCTAAATTTTGAATATAATACTCTTTGTTGACTTCATTACGCGGTAGATCATCTTGAATCTTGAGAGCAGCATCTCTAACTTGAATAGGTAACCCATATTCCAAATCCAAGAGGCATGTTTGACAAACATTTTTTAATTTAGAACATGTCTGACATATCTCTGTTTTCTTGAAACGCATTCTCGAACCAGGGCACCAACGGAAGACAGTAAATGGACGACAACAAATTTTACACTCTTTGCCATATTTTTCTTTGGTCTGGAACAAAATTTTGATTTGTTCATTGTCGTTACTAAATAAAAACTATTTATTTTTATATAAATATTCCCTACACAAATACTTATAAACTTCCTTACCATACGAATATAGGGGTTATCACCGAGACATGTCTGACATAAAATTGGAAAGTCCTGTAACGAAAATCAACAAAATAAAATTAAAATGACTGAAATACGCTTAAAACCTTAATGTTCAAACATACACAACTTACGGAGTCTTCCCAATTCTGTCGATTGTATGTATTAGTTGATTTTGACACAGCCATTTTACGTAAATTATCAAGTAACAAGACGTTAAAATTGTCGTAGCGTTAAGTTCTAAACATAATTTTATTTCTTAAATGAATTTCTTGTGATGTTTTAAAAGCTTTAGCAACGTCAACATAAATTGTAGTCAAAGCAAAAAGATTAACTTGGGCGATTAACAAAAATTAGGACGATATGTTACTAATTACTATACTACCAAATAGGCTTGGGCAAAAAATATCGATATATCGAAATATTTTTTTTAATAAAAATATGGATATATATCGTCGATATTTTACATCGCGATATATCGATATTTAATTTAGAGTATCGAATTCGTATCAATTTTGATATATTTTAAAATGTTGTATTAATGACAAAACATGAATCAACAAAAGGAGGTACTAAAGTATTCATATGAGGTTGATCGTCGTTTTTATTTCGTCGTCAGTAATATAAAATTTTGGACCTTATCTTTACATCATGCAAACGAAGACGATATATCGATATATTTTTTTCCCTTGCCCATCCCTACGACCAAATAACCATATAGATATACATAGTGTGCAAGAAGGAAGAAAATTCCTTATGGCAAAAATGCTATAGAAAAGGATACCAAATCTCATGACTTTGTAACAGATTTTGAATGACAGATCGGCACAATTAGGCACGCAAGAAATAGGTAGTGGTTATTTCTATTAAGTAACTTTTTTGCAAAATGGTTACTTAATCTGCGAGTTACTGTGGTGTTAATAATAGAAATAATCCTGATAATTGCACCTTTCACATGTACATTCTCTAGACGTCGTCAATGTTATGACGCGTTTATTTTTGGTTAAAATTTATGTTATATACTGTGTAAAATATAGAATGTTTTCAATTATTTTGTTAGTTTTGATATTTTGCAAAGAAAAAAAGTCACGTTGTTGAAAATTTGTATGAATTTGGTAAATACATTTTAATACAAAATATTTTACATGTAATCTAAGGATTGACTCAACTGGTATAGTTGAAATTATATTTTAATGTCGATATTTATCTTGAATGTTTATAATAAATCCTCGGTTTGCGTTCTAAAATGTAATTTTATTTTGCCTTTTGTCAAACAGATTCCCTCCGGATTCTATAATTAGCAAATATGGTTAAAGTTAATTAGATGAGTTAGTTGGAATCCAAAGAAGAACTCAACAATTTGCCGCCAGCATTTTCTTGCGAAGAATACAAGAAAAATTAGAATAAAACAATTTTATTAAAAGGAACCATTCCTACATTATTTGTACCAGTAAATATAATATTGTTACAGTACGACTATTAAAAAACTTCAGGTAAAAATAGAGAAACATTTTTATACATTATATAACTGCAGTATATTAAAAAAAAAAAAAGATTATCCTATTAAAGCAATTATGAACCCAACTAAGTATCTTTTCATCAACCAAAAAATGTATAACCTTACTTAACCAACCGCACCTCACGGTCTCATTAGTACAATATTTATAGCATCACGTTATTTTCCCTAAGGCGTAGAGCGGAGCCTCGGACATATATCTAAGTCACAATGATAAAACTTTTAATGTGGTTAGATATAGATAATTAGTAATGCTCTTGTAGTGCCGCTAGATGTCCGCGCTTGAGACGCGTAGTTTAGTTTGCCAGGATAGTATAAATTCCATAGTATTTGATACTCACAACGCGCCCGATTTATGCTTGGTACCCGACTATAGTGTGTCGTTGTTCGTTGCCTACGGCGTTATGCGTAGAGGAGAAGAACTTGTATTTATTAACAACTGCGCGGATCAATAGTTCTGCGAGATTAAGTTGCGCTTGTCACAATCAGTCCATGGATGGGTCACCGTCTTCTTAAAATACCGAGATTGAGAGAATAGACAGTGCATCTGTATCCTCAGATACCTGGTACACTTTCATATCTCCTGCGTATTTGGCTTGTCTGTGTACGATCATTATGTTTTTAAATTCATGCAGCTAAAATGTTAATAAGTTTGTTATTTTTCAGGGACAGATGAAAGAAAGAGAGAGTAGCCTCTTTAAACAGAGCTAAATAAGTTTAACTGATACCTACAAGTTTATTTTTTTAAAATGCATATTTAAGTCGAATGTTAAAATTGATTTTTATAATGTATTTAATTATAAATTATTAAATTTTAGTAATTACTATAATAATAGTTTGTTTTATGGGATAGGGAGACAAACGATCACACAGTCCACCTGATGGTAAGTGGTTACTGTGACCCATAGACATCTACATCTATCCTCAATAAAGACTCAAGATGCAGATGCGTTCTCACCCGTGAGGACTAAGATGCAATGCCTCTTTGCCAGTAAAAAGGGTCTCCGGTTCTCTACACTCACCATACGAAACACAGCAGTGTTAAGCTGCTATTTTACGCTGGTTTTCTGTGAGAGCGTGGTCCTTCCCCGGTCGAGCCGACCCATTCGTGCTACAACTATTCTACTAATATAGCTGCAGCATGGCTCTACCACGTACAAATGTTAGTTATATGAAAAATAAAGCTGCCATTATGTACTTCGTGTCCCCATTTTTTATTTCAACAGCAAAACGTTTTATAAAGTATATAAAGTAAAAATAGGTTTTTACTTAATTAAATATCTAACTATTTATAGTTAATTAACGTTATGTTACAAAAATTCCGGGGAAACTGTTCATTGCAGTAAAGTTTTCTCTAAAGGTCATACATAATTCGAAAATAAAACTTTTCGATCTAATTCTTGGAGGAAATTGTTTAAGTTTATCGGTAGACTCACTTCTTCAAAGATTATTGGGAATTTGTACATTTTGAATTAAAATACAACAAAAGACAGGTAGGTGGAGCTTATTCCCGGGAACATGTTATTTAAATATTTTTTAATCAATTTAGAACTATTAAGGTAAAAATTCTGTTAATTTTTGAGGTTTTTCAGTTTCGTACACTAAACCATTTTTTTTTTCATTTTTTACCGTAGCGATGACTTTTCGATAGTCCTTGTAAGTGAAATGCACATCACTAGCTAACGCACACAATGACAAATCAAAATTGGCTAGATACACATTTTCAGGTTGTCAGGTCGTCTATACGCTAGTATATTTTAAGTCTATGCAAATAACCATAGACTTAGAATATATACGCCAGTCTAAGTCTATGCAAATAACATAACCAAAGAGTATAATATAGCTCACAGTATATAAAGCCCGCTGTTCACAATGGGCATGGAGTACAGAGTAGAAGGAGGACCATCTCTGTATATGAAGTGTTCGTAAAAACGGGTTCAGTAAGGGTGGTGCTGCAGTAGCATAGGATAAATAAAAAAAGCGACAAAAGTAATTAGAATAAATGGAGAAATTAACAACGACCGACCAATCCAGTTGGTTTTCGCGCACTTTTCAAACAAAATATATGGTCGAAGGACACTCATATGATATTTTGATTTATAATCATAAAGTGAATATAAATTTAAAATTAAAAAAGCGTCGTTTCAAACAATCAAGTTAACAAACGTTTAAACTATTTCTTTTTTTCAAAGTCAGAAATTATAATGCGGAAAATTTGAGAGAATTACAAGTAAAATTTGAAATTATTTTAACTTGTTAAAAATTTATTTGTTGAAAGAAAAATAACAAGTCTTATAAGGTGCAAATGTAAAATAAATCAACAAGCGTGTTATTCAACGATTTATATTATTAAATTATATAAATAAACGATTCATTTTCAACAATAGTATTACTGGAGTCGTAGGAAGAGTAATAACATACTTGATTACTTGTTGTTTGCTTTACTAGTGTTCACAACACGAATGGCATTCAATATATTTTTTTTAAATTTTATTGCAATAGTTTTTATTGTGCCGGACGGGCGTAACTCTCCGGAGTAAATGTTGTCGAAGATACTCCGCGAGCCGCTAACGTCCTACACCTATAGGTTCCGGAGGATACTTTCACTGCCGTCTCTGTGGGTGTTGCTGGAAAACTGTCGACTGAGGTTCAAAATTAAAATGCACGATTTATAAATTAAAATAGCAAGTTATTTATTGACCACGGTTGTTGAACTACGGTTGTTCACTATTGGTTGGTCACTATATATTTCAAAAGATTCAATTAAAAATGTGCGGTAATATTAAAATTTCTACTGGTATTAAAATATCTATTGGTAGTATCAAAATATCTATTGGTAATATCAAATATCTATTGGTAGAATGAAAATATCGATTGGTAGTATCAAAATATCTATTAGTAGCATAGACATAGTATCTTATAGACTAAACATTCAGCGACGTCATCAGCGTGTGAAAGGAATGCACGTATATAGTTAGCCATAAGAGTAAGGGAGAAGCAAATCTATATTTCTTGTCTTTTTCTAGGTATGCGTTTTTGATTGTTTTCCCTCCTTTATTTGACATTAACGATGTCAAGCTCTTTTGAATAATATTGATATTATAAGCAAACAGGTAATTGAATTTAGTGTTTTTTGTGGGTCTTAGTTATTAGGTAAGGTGAAAAAGATGGTAAGTTGTAGCATTTTAGGATGTTACAGCATCAGTCAACGAAAAATTGATAATATTACCTTTCATCGGTAAGTTTGTTTTGTGCTTACATTTGCTACTTGTACTGATTAATATCTATTGTTTTGAATATAAAGTGTAACATTTCATGTTTTTAATGAACTTTGTGATGTATTTTGTCAAATATTTGGACTCCCAAATTGTAAATTCTTCATGATAATGCTCCCTAATTTGAATGTCAATGCTCTATCTACGATTAGTAGTATCAAAATATCTATTGGTAGTAGCTGGTTTTCTAACACTACTGACTAGCAGCTATTAATCAACTAAAAGTAGTTGTTTTTAACACTTCTGTAACTGCGAATATCAGTTACCACCTTTTCCGTCTAGCTAACCTTTTTCATAATGGCGAATTTTCCGTTACCACTTTTTTCGGCTAGCTAACACTTTTTCACTATATGTAACTGCGAATTTTCAGTTACCACCTTTTTCGGCTAGCTAACAC